TCAATACTAAGGTTTTCACCCCTATGTGCCACTTTTTTCTCCATCTGCGTCAGCCAGTCACAGAGCTCCTTGTTTTTATCATTGAAGATGATCCAGGCATTCAGGCGATCAGCTATTTCCTGTTTGCGAAGGGACACCTACACACAAGAGGAAGAATAAAGGGTTAAAATGCTTCAGCATGGCAAAATACAGTCTTTAAAAAAACATTCTTACAGTTAGTACAGAAAAGTTTCCACATATCAACACTTGTTTCATTTTATTTTTCATTATAATGACATTTTTTTTCATTCAGGAAATATCTTTGAGAGCACATGGCCTACTCTCAAGTTCTAGAGAGAGTACATAAGAACTTGCACTTTGTCCTCACTGAATTTTGTAATGTGCTCTTCAGTTCCTAATTCACATGTGAGAAAAGACTTGAAAACAACTCAGTACAAAGGTGACAGGTTTCAACTATATTACTTTATTCTTTAAAAGCTGGCCATCTGAAAGGCTTTTAAAAAAACGTTCATCTCGTGCTGTGAGATTGACTACTGGACTGTTAAGCAAAAGAGTACAGCAAAGGCCCACTCGCTTTTACTGCTTTCTGTCAGTAAGGGGCTTGTCTATTAGGATGTACTAACACCAAGACACACTAGGGGAGCGCTTTGTAGTGTTATTTCTAGATTGCTGGGTCTTACATGCAGCCTTTTAAAAAGAACGAAGGCATTTTGCATGCTACATTTGTCAGTGAAAGCTATACACTTTCCTTGATCTATTAATGTCACGCTTAGAGTTGTAAGAGAATGTGATATTGTAGTTTTCCTTCTAAACAAGATATTAATCATGAGGTTAAAAGAAAGCACACGGACATTGAGCTTAGTTAATCACTTCTATTCATGGCCTTGTTGTTGAATGCATTATTTATGCATTTCCTTGAGCCCAAGCCACTTGCCCAAAAACATATGCAAAGACAAATAAAAGACCTCCTTCTAGAAAACAAGGCCTAGCTTTGCCATCTGTCATTCATTCCAGGGAATGTTTCCACCTGCAACCTGTTGGCCACAGACACTGACGCACAACGTAAACTGACCTCATTGGCTCGGTCCTGGCGTCTGGCCAGAGTTTCAAACAAAGACACGACTGAAAACTCACAACAGCAACTTCACAAACTGAAAAATGGTTGATTAAATAAGGCGCCCTGCGTTATGTGGTGAAAAGTCTAAGGGCTGGATGTAGGCCATGCAACAATCTGTCCTAAATGTGGCCTTTCTGTTTTTAATTGCTCAGGCCGTTTACAGTTACAAGAGCAACTCCATTCAAATGTCAGCAGGCCATTCAGCTACTTTACTTAATGATGGCAGGCTGGACACCTGCGCTAGACAGATAATCTCAGAAAAAAGTCCTCAGTCAGCCTTTACAATGCCTGGCAAGCAACTTAAAAAATGAGCTACATAAGTAATGCATATTGACGTGTGTTAAAATAGACATTATTTTATTTAATAAAGAGCAAAATTAATTTAATTATAGCAAAGTTGTAATGTTAAGGGTATTTTTTGCCCAGAAATGATAATCATTTACCAAACCCAAAAGACTTTCATTCTCCCGCAGAACACAAAAAGTAATTTTTTGAGAACAATCCTGGCCAATAAAAATAAAAAAATATTATGAAAGTAAATAAGGATGAGAGCTGTCAAGCTCCAAAAAGGGGTCAATGTGTCTCTTGTGCTATATTTAAAGTCTACTGAATTCATATGACAGCTTGGTGTGAGTAAAAAGTATTAATTTAAGGCATTATACAATAAGAAATAGACCAAAATATTTTCAGTGAATTGGTTTATAAAACTGGTTTGATTCTAATTTGGTCTGAATGATTTGTTCATGAATAGGACTGATCAAGTTTTTGAGTTCAGCTGTTAATGGCTTAATGATCCTGTCGTAGTGGTAACATCCCAATATATGAAGATAATTTCAAGTCTTCTGAAACTAGTTTGGTCCAGCAAGTAGGTAAGTAAATTAAAATGTTAATTTTGGTCTGAACTGTCCCTTTAAGGCAAGTGGAAAATTTTTTCTTGTGCTATTTTTCATGTCAGAAACATGTGTGTCAAGACATCTTTCTGATGAGAAAACTATTATTATGACTATAAATCTAGATCAATTCACATACATTCTCATTTTCCCTCTCTTTTTCTGTGCCATGCGGCACTGTGAAGTTTCCCCCCCACCTTCCAGCAGTGAATCATTGTGTGCCTTTCAATGCTGCCTGGACAACAGCCTCTCTTTCCCTCCTACTCTCACTCTCACTCTCTCCTCTCACAAACACTCACTCACCTTCAAGCACAGTTCTTCCCATTGGCTGTGA